CGTTGAGGCTGCGGCTCAGCAGGTCCGAGTACTTCTCGGTCTGGCCCACGATGAAGTCCAGCTGCAGGTCCAGGGCCTTCTTCCGCTTCTCCTCCAGCCGCGACTGCTGCTTGAACTGCACCACCTGCCCCGCCAGCAGGTCTCAGCACCCAACGGGCACCCAACGGCCACCGTGGGCAACCAACGGCCGCCCAACACCACCCAATGGCCACCACGGGTCACCAACAGCCACCCAACGGCACCCAACAGCTGCCCAACGGCACCCAACAGCCGCCATCGGTCATTAACAGCCACCCAATGGCATCCAACGGCCACCACGGGTCACCAACCACCCAAGGGCTACCATGGGCAACCAATGGCCACCCAACAGCCACCATGGGTCACCACCAGCCACCATAAGTCATTAATAGCCACCCACTGGCATCCAACGGCCACCACAGGTCACCAATGGCCACCATGGGCAACCAACGGCCGCCCAACACAGGTCAACAACGGCCACCCAACGCCACCCAACGGCCACCATAGGCAACCAACAGCCAGCCAATGGCCAACATGGATGACCAACAGCCAACCAACACCACCCAACGGCCACCATGGGTCACCAATGGCCAACATGGGCCACCAACGGCCACCCAATGTCATCCAATGGCCACCACAGGTCACTAATTGCCACCCAATGGCCACCATGGGCAACCAATGGCCACCCAACACCACCCAACAGCCACCATAGGCAACCAACAGCCAACCAACGGTCACCCAACGGCCACCATGGGTCACCGACGGCCACCCAGTGTCATGTAACGGCCACCAGGGGTCACCCACAGCCACCCAATGGCCACCATAGCTCACCAATGGCCACCCAACGGCCACCAAGGGTCACCAACGGCCACCCAATATCATCCAATGGCCACCACAGGTCACCAACAGCCACCAACGGCCACCCAGCACCACCCAACGGCCACCATAGGCAACCAACAGCCACCATGGGTGACCAACAGCCAACTAACGGCCACCCAAGAGCCACCACGGGTCACCAATGGCCACCCAATGTCATCCAATGGCCACCCAAGGGCCACCATGGGCAACCATGAGCAACCAATGGCCACCTAATGGCCCCCATGGGTCACCAACGGCCACCCAACACCACCCAACGGCCACCATGGGTCATTAAAAGCCACCCAATGGCATCCAACGGCCACCACAGGTCACTGACGGCCACCCAATGGCCACCATGGGCAACCAACGGGCAACCAACGCCACCCAACGACCACCATGGGTCACCAACAGCCACCCAGCTCCACCTAACGGCCACCATAGACAACCAACAGCCACCCAACAGCCACACAGGTAACCGACGGCCACCCAATGTCATCGAATGGCCACCATAGGTTATTAACGGTCACCCGATGTCATGTAATGGCCACCGTTGGTCACCAACGGCCACCCAATGTCCACCAACAGCCACCATGGGTCACCAACGGCCACCCAATGGCATCTAACGGCCACCATGGGTCACCAACGGGCACGCAAAGCCCACCATGGGCAACCAATGGCCACTCAATGGCCACCATGGGGGACCAATGGCCACCCAATGGCCACCATGGCCGACCAACAGCCAACCAACAGCCACCTTGGGTCACCAATGGCCACCTAATAGCCACACAGGTCACCGATGGCCAATGTCATATAATGGCCACCATAAGTCACTAACGGCCACCCAATGTCATCCAAGGGCCACCATGGGTCACCAACAGCCACCCAATGGCCACCACGAGCAACCAACTACCACCCAATGGCCACTACAGACAACTAATAGCCACCATGGGCAACCAACTACCACCTAATGGCTACCATGGGCAACCCACAGCCAACACAGACAACCAACAGCCACCCAATGGCCACCATAGGCAACCAATGGCCAACACAGGCAATCAATGGCCACCTCATGACCACCATGGGCAACCAAGAGCCACCCGATGGCCACCAAGGACAACTGATGGCCAACCAAAGGCCACCACAGGCAACCACCGGCCACCTAATGGCCACCACAGGCAACCATTGGCCACTCACTGGCCACCACAGGTGACCACCAGCCACCCAAGAGCCACCATGGCCACCCAACGGCAATCGTGGCCACCCAACGGCCACCATGGGTCACCACCAGCCACCAGAAGCACCCACTGGCCACCACGGAGCCTGAGAGCCACCCATGGGCCACCACAAGGGACCAATGGCCACCAACTGGCCACCGTGGGCACCCACTGGCCACTGCGGGCACCCACTGGCCACATTCTGCAGCCCTAGAGTAGCAGAACAAAATGGCTGCCAAGGCTGACGGTAGCCACCCACAGGAGCCTGGTAGCCCAGCGGGGTTTGGGGATGTGGTGCTGGGCACCCTTGGGTGCCCTAGGAGTTAGTGGCCACCCTGTGAGGGCTGGTAGCCCAACGAATGACCAGACCGGAAAGGGACTGGGGGTAGGGACACCCAACGGGTGGTGGCCAGCCACGGAGATTTAGTAGCCCAGGAGTGACCAGGCTCAGCAGCGACAGGAGGCTGGGCACCCCTGGATGCTGCCGGTTGGGCGGCCACCCAGTGGTTTTGGTAGCCCAAGAGTGGTAGATCACGGGGTGCCAGGCACCCTTGGGTGGTAGCCATTTAAGGAAGGTTGGTAACCCACGGTGACTGGGTACCCATGGGTTACACGGGGGGGGTGGCAACCACCTGAGGTGGTCTGGTAGCCCAGTGATGACCATGCTAGGAGGAGACGGGGCGCTGAGCACCTTTAGCTGTCCCAGAAACTGGTGGCCACACACAGACTTAATAACAGGCGCTCGAGGACGTGCTGTCGGCCACCTGTGGGGGGTAGTCACCAGGCAGAACTCATAGGCCAAGGTTGTGCTGAGAAGCGACGGGGTGCTGGGTGCCCCAGGGGCCAGCAACCCCCAAGAAAAACCAGCGCTGGTGGCCACCACCCGCAGCTGGTGGCCACCACCCGCGTCCTCCTCACGTGAAAAGCAACACCCAAGCAGGATGGAAGCCACGAGCCACATGGGGAGATTTGGTAGCCACATGGTGGAGAGCACCCATGGGTGCGGGAGTGGCACCCACCTTCTCCACGTTGGTCCAGAACTGCTTGACCTCCTTGGCGATGGCAGCGGCCACCCGGCGCAGCTTGGCCTGCTCCTCCCGCTTGGCCCGCTCCTCCTTCTGCCGCTGCTCCTCGTGGTGCCGCATCACCATCCGCACCACCTGGGTGGGGGCACCCGTGGGTGGGGGGCACCCGCTGCCCAACCCCCCCAAGATGCCACCACGGCTTCTCCAGGGGATCACTGGCCCCTGATGTCCCTCCAAACCTCCCCCGAGATGCCACTACAGCTTCTCCAGGTGGTTCAGCCTCCCCTGATGTCCCCTCAAACCCCCCTGAGATGCCACCACAGCTTCTCCAGGGGGTTTGAGCTCCCCTAAAGTCCCTCCAAACCCCTTGGAAATGCCACCACGGTTTCTCTAGTGGCCGCTACGGGGTTAAGGCTGCCCTGATATGCCTCCAAACCCCCCTAAGACGCCACCACAGCTTCTCCAGGATGTTCAATGTCCCCCACAGACCCTCCAAACCCCCCTGAGATGCCACCAGAGTTTCCCCAGTGGCTGCTACAGGGTTAATCCTCCCCCCACCCCCCCCCCACCCCCCCCCCCCCCCCCCCAACCCCCCCCCCCGAGACACCACCACAGCTTCTCCAGGTCTGATCTCCCTCAAAGCTCCTCCAAACCCCTCAGAGATACCACCACAGCTTCTCCAGGCAGTCCAGCCTCCCCGGATGTCCCTCCAAACCCCCCTGAGATGCCACCACAGCTTCTCCAAAAGGTTTGACCTCCCCCAACGTCCCTCCAACCCCCCCGAGATGCCACCAGAGCTTCTCCGGTGGCCGCTATGGGGTCGAGCCCCCCCCACCTTGCGGGCCACGCCCCTCTTCCAGCGCCGTTCCTGGGCGAAATCGGCGGCCAACCACTGCATCTCCTCGCAGAGGTAATCCCAGTGAACCTTGGGTCGCGTTGGTTCCGGGACTTTGGGCAAACGCCTCAAGGACCAAAAACCTTCGCGTTTCATCTCCGCCACCCGGTGCTCCACCTCCGCCTCCTGCGCGGCACGGCGGGGGTTAACCGCCCCATGGCGGTGGTGAACCACGCCACGGCGGGGGGTCGCTAGGGGCTGCTCTAGGGTGGGCACAGCCCCAAACGTCCCCCAACCCCCCCCCCCCCCCCCCAAGGAGGGCCGAGGAGCCCCCGCAAACCCCCAG